AGCTGGTCTGGAGTCCACATGCAGCTCCAGCCACGCTGAGGCCGCACAGTCAGCATGCTAACAAACGTCAGCATGGAGCTGTGAGTGTTAGCTTTGTTAGCTTTAGCTTCCCCCTGTTTGCTGTGAAACATTCCTGCTGAGATTTGCATTAGAGCAGCAGCTCCTCCAGCCCCACACCACGGTGAACCTGGTCTCTCCCTCAGGGTCTGCTCTTGACCCAGTACCTCCCCTCCCCCTCCTCTTGACCCCGTGTCATCAATCTTGGGGGAGCAGTGAGGAGAGGGAAAAATTACGGGCACTGGCTCTTTAAATCTTGCCTGTAGGGGCAACCCTCCCCCATCATGCACCCTCCTCACCCCCCCTCTGCTGGTGCTCAGGCCCTGCAGGGAGTCTAGTAGTGAGAGGGCAGTGATTCAGGCCTCCACAACAACAACAACAACAACAGTACCACTGCAGATTTACACCAAACAGCCGACAGGAAGGAATAAAGAGATTCTAGTGGTTTCTACCTTGAAACACAGACAATCATCTGTCTCGTGTTGCAGCTCTTCATGAAGCTGCATCATGTCTGTGGAAACTTTGGGATCTCCGCTAGAATTTAAATAAGGTTCTGAACAAATTAGCTTTTGCACTGAGGGAGCTGCCAGCGAGTCCATCTGCAGAAAATCCAGAGGAGAAGAAGAAGCCTGCGTTGGACTTCGTGCAGCACTTCGCCGCGCTGACTTAACGCGACGCATGCTGATTACAAATGTCACCATGACACGGGACATTAAAGCCTCGCAGGAGCAACCGCAGTTTATTTTCCCCAGCTACACAAAGTTGGAAACACCTTTTGATCTGGTCTCAGCCGACAGGAAGCTCACGCACTCAACGAGAAGTAGAAAGTGTCCGACTTGACCTGCAGTTCAAAGCGGCTTAAATCAACCGAACTTTACGTTCTGAGCGACCTCTTGCAGCCGTGTGACAAAGAGCGGGTGAAAACACCAGGTACACGATAAATAACCTGAAAAATGCTCTTTCTGGGGGGGTGGATGGTTGGATAATTAGGTGACCTTCACCCAGGAGGTCAGTTCCTGTGTGCTTAATTAGATTTTGTTATTAGCGTTAGCAATACTTTTGTTGGATTATTGCGTTTTGTAGTGTTTATTTTTATCGTTAGCGTTTCATTTAGCTTTAGCTAGTCAGCGTTTTCTGTAGCATTAGCTTCCCTTAGCCTCCCGAAACCCTTACCCTAACCATCACAGGGTGAGGGCCTAAACATGTCGACCGGTTAACCTCCCTGTGTCATACAGGTCGTTTTGAAGACATCAACTCAGGACCGATTCTGTCGTTTCTAGGAGGACGTGTTGCCCCTGCAGTCGCCACAGCCCGACTCTGTGACTGCCACCAAAACAACAAAGTGATTTATTTTTAACAGACTAAAAGAAGTGAACGAAGTGCTGTAAAAACAAAGAGAAGGAGAGCAGCTCAGTCTACAGAGGAAACACCTGTGACATGTGTGAAAACATCACGTATGAACAGACTGAACTTCCCTTCACGGTCTCCGTGTTGCCATAGAAACCAGATGAAAAGAAATGACAAGAGGCTCAAACAAAACTTTCTTACGTCGCGCGTCTTTCTGAGAGGCGACGGCGTGACAGAACCACACCAGCGCCCTCTGGTCCGGTGTTTGTCAGCGGGTACGAGCCGAGCACACAGACCGGGCGCCGACCCAAAGTCCACGTGGACCTTTGTGGATCATCACAGATCAAAGGGGGGCATTAAAATCAAGGGGTCCATCCTCTGGAGACCAGCAGAGGCCCCTCTGAATGGATCTGATCTCAGACCTGAACGTCCACTCCCACTGCTGCAGCTGTCAAATCTTTAAGCACAGAGCGTCGCTTCCTGAACTGAACATCTCAGGTTTCTCTCTGACCTGACCCGCTGGCTAAACCTGCAGTCTGGATCTCACAGGGTCTCTGAGAGGAAAACCACGTCAGACACACGGAGGACAGTGGTGGTTGGCGTGCGTCCCTGATTGGCCGAGGCCGCGGCTGGCGGTTAATGCTACATGAGCAGGAGTTTCACTGCTGGGCCAGATTATTTAAAGGCCGACACAGAATCAACAAATCCTGCTGATCATCAAACACGGCGAGCAGATTATCATCCGCTACAAAGTCCAGCTGCAGCTCGCACACAGTTTGTCAAACGATTACTTCACTGACAGCTCGGGAAACAGAAACACTGCCAGGGCGCCTCATTTCCAGCACTACAGTCAAACAATACGGGTAACCTGTGTGTGTGTCAACTACAACTCCCAAGATGCATTTCACTCATCTCAATGGATGCAAAGTCTCCCACAGATATGTGCTGTGATCTGATCTACAGAGTATCTGATTGCTGATGATCAGCTGATCATGGTTTGAAGCATCTTATTTTTTTAAGGGAAATCGCATGATCAGAAGATTTTATTCTTAACAGTATTGATTAGAAACCCCGTGCACAGTGTATCATCAGCTTGTTATACTTGTGGGGTCCGACAGCTTTGTGGCGACTGGTAAAGATCTCACTGAGGGTTAAGAGCTGCAACGACCAATGAACTCGTCAGCAACTATTCTGATAATCGATTAACGGGTTTGAGTCAGTTTTTTAAGAAACATTTTCTGATTCCTGCTTTTTAAATGTCAATATTTTCTTTCCTCCTCGGTGACAGTGAACTGAATCTCTCTGGGTTTTAACAAGACGTTTCCAGGACGTCTTCTCGGACTTTGAGAAACACTGATCAACGTTTTCTAAACCAAATATTAATGGATTAATGGAGAAGATGATGGACGGATTAAGCGTTAGTTGCAGCCCTAGTTAGACGTAGAGGATGTGCGTGCGTTGATCGGGAGGTGAAGCTGTGAGCAGAAGAAGAAAAGCAGCTGATAAACATTCCCTTTGTTCCGACTGTACAGACCTGCAGCAGCTCTCACTGTAACACACACCCGAGCAGAGAGTGTGTGTGTTCATCCTGCAATGCATTTCATCACAAGTCAAATCTGCATCTGTTCCTATGGAGACATCAGAAACATCAGCGCTGGATCATCATGGAGGACGACGAGGTCAGAGGAAATAAAGTGAAGGACTCTGGGTTTAGTCACTAGCTGCTACTAACAGAACACGCCCCCATCGCCCCCCCAGCTGGCTGCTGTAGAGCTGCATTTTGGGTAGTGTAGGCGCTCGGTTTGGGGAATAGGTCGTCTTCTAAAGGTATGTGTTTCCCACGCGTAGACTTTACTCTGTAAAAGACTTGGTGTTACGTTAGGAGACGTGAACACGGTGGATATTTGACAGACACGAAGACGGCGGCTGGAATAAGATGAAGCGTGCGTCACCTTTAAACAAACGTGAGCTCGCTCGCTGTGCGTTCTGATTATAAGCAAATATTAAATTTACAAGTGTAAGCTTTTAATTCAAGAACTTCAACTGTTAACTCTCCGTTATTTACTTTCTAACTTTATTTATAATGTTTGAAGTAAGAGAATTAACACATTTGCTCAGGTCTTTCAGGTAATAATAAATATGTGCCTGCAGATTATTAAATTATGCTCCCTGTGCACACGGAGTGATAACTGGTGCAAAATCATTCTGTCGTCTGCGCTACGGTAGCGTTTTGAGCAGAAATCATCAGCTGCTGCCGTGAAAACTGATGTCTGTTAGAAAAAAGTGACTTTATAAAACATCCTGCCGATGGAGTGTCAGGAGAGACAGAGGAAGAGGCGGGGCAGCAGGTGTGAACCGCTGTGGTGAGATGTGCTTCAACATTCAGGCCAATAACGCTTGAAGTGAAGTCAGAGGCGAAGTGACATTAATGAGTGACGTCGGCCTCGTTCACCCCAACAGGACAGTGATCATTTAGAAATATGAGCTGCAACAACCAACCAGCTGATGAGAAGAACTCTTCTGATCATCAGTTCTGTCTTTCTAAAAAACAGAAAACAAGACAAACGATACCAGCAGGTCAGAAAACTGTAAGCAGGAGCCGGTCTCTGGTGGATCAGACCCCTGTACACATGTGATCCGGGCACATTATTGATCCCCATCTGAGCCCGGAACAGGTCCCTCCTGACGCCCACAGGTGAGCATCTTAACAGGGGTTCACCTGAGTGGAAGCAGCACAGGTGCATTGTGGGGAGTTTTCTGCATGTGTGTGTGTCTGTAGTATTTTTCCAGCACGCACGCGCACACGCCTCCTCTCCGCTACTACGAGGCCACATGACCGAGCTGCTTCATTCATCCACCCGCCGCGAGCCGTAGTAAAAAAACGCGCGCGGACGGTGCGGAGGAGCGCGCGGGGTGCAAATGAGAGCGAAAGAGCTGAAGGTGGTTTCTGACGCTCGCGCTCTGCTGATCGGTTATCGATCCGCCTGCATGCCTGAGCAGACAATGGAGCAGCAGCCGCGCGCGCGCACACACACACGCGCACGCGGCTGCAGCCAAACACAACTGACAGTGAACGCAGACTGGACCCGAACACAAAGAGCTGGACCTGCTGTGATCAGGTCTCACGGGTTCAGGTGCAACACCAGGACACGGGACACAATCAAGACCCCTCAGAGCTGCTGGACACACAGCAGCGGTCCGCTGCCCCCCTTTAGCGATCCACAACCCAGACCGTGTCTGCAGGACTCAGAGAGGCTTACTTCACTGAGTCCTGCTCGTGTAGTATTTCAGCACTTCAAGTCCGGCAGGATCCTGCTCTGCGTCCTGCCATGTGCTGCTGGGAAAACCCTCCAGCCCCGCTCCGCACAGCGCACCAAACATTTTCACTCAGAAAGTCCCTGATCCAGACCACAACGGGTCCGCACGTGCGGAGCTACTGAGATAAATACATTTAAACACCTTCACGGTACCCCTGTAAACCTGAACAGGGTCCCCTGTAATCTCCTGGTGGTGTTTGGTGTTTGCAGGCTGCAGTGTTGCAACCTGCTGCCCTTTCACCCACAGACACAGAACCGGCCCGTCCGGTCCCCCTTTACCTGCACACAGAGTCCCCAGCAGCAGCGCCCAGGTCAGCCAGGAGAGCCACATATTCCCTCTAGTTGGAGGCGGTCGCCGCTGCGCCGCCAGGTTTCCTCCTGCTGTGCCCCGGATCCTCCTCCAACATTTAAAACACAAGTTCCAGAAGCGCGGGGGGGCGCTGCGTAAAACCACGACCCGCAGCCAGGCCCGGGGGTCCGTCCGGCGGGCTTTGTGTAATAATCCAGCAGCCTGCTCCTCCAAAACGCACCAGACCCGCACGGCTCTACGGAGAAGTTCCCAGCGGATCCAGAGCCCTGCGGGGCGGGGAGCAGTCCAGAGCTCAGCCCGGGGTCACTCACGGTCACAGCCCGCCGACAGATCCGGAACCAGTTCCGCAGATAAACCCTCAAAAAGGCGGTGAGAGGAGCGAAACAGCCCGCAGACCAGCTCTCCTCCGCCCGTCTCTCTCTGTGGCTCAGCTCGCTCTCTATCTGTTCGGGGCTGCTGGGGACAAGCAGACCGGATTATGTGTCAAGCTGGACTCACCAGCGCCAGGTCACCTGCTTCCGCTTTCAAAATAAAGCGGCAGGGCTCGCAGGTCGGGGACACTGGTCCAGTCCTCTGCTTCGTTTTTAAAAAACAAATCAAATATTTCAAGTATTAACTCAGACACAAAAAGGAAACAACGGAAACTGGATTACATGAACATCACACCTCCAGCTGAATAAGAGCTTCTGATTACCCACATACAAATAAATAAATATACATGATGATTTCTCGTCTATATTTTTAACAGATACAACTCTTTATTAAAACTCATTAATCCAACAACACTATCTTTTTTTTAAATAAACTTTTAGACAATAACTCGGGCATTATAACTGAAGGTGGATTATGATATTCTTTAGAGTCGGTCTCTTTAAATGTGACTCTTATAAGATAAAACCAACACGTCCTCTCACCCGAACAACACAGTAGTTTGTGATTGGCTCCCGAAACGACACATAAGAGCGTCCATCGACAGGCCATGTTAAGGACGTCACATGACAATAGAGACGTGGTAAACTTTGTGAAACAGTTGCAGTTTTGTTAGGTTTAGGAAAACATCACGGTTTGGGTTAAAATAAGTAAATTACGTAAATCAGTAACACTGTTTAGTCTCGCAGGACTCAGATCTCAGTTTCCTGCGTGAAAGTCATGAGTTCATGTGACCCAACCCTCCACGTCCTTATATCGACTTTCTCGCTCTTTATACTACGTCCATGCTGGCGTCATACGGCCCCTAGAGGTCACGACCTGACAATAAATTTAAGTATCGCTGTAAGCTGATTTTCTGTGACGACGGGCAAAGCAGTTAAATAAAGTCAAGTTTTCTGCAGTGTAGAAAATTTTGCAAGACAGCACCAGGGGAGCCAATCAGGTTCCAGTGCCGTGGGATGGGGACTAGCAACGACATCTCATTACGCTGTGAAATGAACCCTTGGCCTTCCTGCTTCAGGTCAAAACATCACTGAAACATTTAAAAGGGTTCTTCATAGAGCAAACGTCACTGTCCTCTGGTGCCAAAACACATTAGCTGCGTCAATGTTTTTATGTCTTGTCATTTTAGGGATCTGTAAGTACTCAATGAAGTACACTTGTTAATCATAATAAATATTGCTGCATGGCGCAAAGACAACCGGGATTTTCAGTTTGCATGATACCAACATGTGCAATTAAGGGCTACTTTTATTTTGACGATCTTGACCGGAAGTTCTGCCTCTCGTTGCGCCGTGCTTGACAGTGTTTGGTGCACCCGAGCTGAACCGAGTCCAAAATGGCTCCTAAAGACAGAGAGAGAGCCCGGATGTTTAAATACAAAGGCAGGAATGCAATGAAAGAGAATCTGCTCCTCCTGCAACATAATTACTGTGGAAACGGAATAACATGGATATTATGGTCAACACCAGCGACACTGGGCTCCCAGAGAGGCATGATGGGAAATCAACACTTTCAGCTTTGTTCTGCCAGCTGATGGGGAAATCTGAAAAAGATAAATATGTATAAAAATAAAAATGTAACAAGCTGTAAAGTTCCAGCGTGTGAAAGTAAACATTATCTTTTCATCAAGAAATCTACAAACAGCTGTTGGAGTCTGAGATAAGGTTTTTACTTTTTCCTCAGTGTTGGAGAATCCATATTAAATGTCTCACTCTGTTCTGGTTTCTACTGAGAAATGCAGAGATCAGAAACACCCACCAAACATAATCATACAAATGAAAACATTAAAACTGAAGTCATATATTTATGTGTTTTTGTGGCACTTTAATAAGCTGCGGTACAAAAACCTTCACGGTCCTGGAGCATTGTGAAACACACATTTGAAAATAACAGATTGATCATAATCATGACGAGAAAGAGTGTTTCATAAGATTTCAGAATTATCTGTCAAGTTGTCAGCGAAGTTGATGAATGAAATTATTCACATTTGAGTTTTTAACAATGGTACAGGTAAGTGCATACATCACATATGGACAGATCCGTTACAGGTGTCACTTTTTAAAGCCCTGAGTACCATTTAGTGTCATTTTTACACTCGTATATTTCTGGTATTTATATACTAGGTCTACTTTTAGCTTGGCTCCCCAGTGCACTGAAGTATGACGCCAAACGGTCTTGACCAAGCGTCCATTTGAACGGGTTGTACAAAGGGAGTTAAGGGTTGGTGATGTCGCTGGAGACTGGGCCTGCAGGCACACATTTCGGGCTGCTCGTGGGCGTCCGCGTGCGACATGAGTGGACGATAAGATTCAGGGCACGTGGATGAAAAACCATTGGTACAACGCAGACGTGGGAAGAATTAATTTGTATTAATGAACAGCAAATGGTGCGGGAAAATAATGTGGTGTAAGTAGAGAACACTAAAGGGCCAAAGATGGAGCCCTGAGGTACCCCACCTCTCATCAGCGCCCTGGATGATCCCGCTTCCCTGATGGGGAGGCTGCAGACAGGAGGAAAAACTGTTTAATACATGACCTGAGAGGTTACCTTCCTCTTTGTCTGTTACTGCCTGAAACTATATTAATAGAATTGATTCTCCCTGGGAACAGACAGATGGATCAGAAGCCACGTTTGAGCAAACTTTGACGGAGAGTTAAGACTCTCCTGCTCGCTGTATTCATGATTGGTTTAGTGAACCATCAGAAGAAATAGGACAAACTTTTGCATTTTTGTTTATTAAAGGAGCTCAGATTGGATCAACTCAAAGAATTCCAGATCTGTTACTGCTGCAACATATTCAGCCTCTGAATCACCGGTTCATCGGTGCGGTGAATGAACCGTTGGGAGATGCCGGCAGTGAACGCAGCCTCGGTCTGGATGAACGGTATCAGTCTGGCTCGCCTTCCTCTCTGTGCAGGTTTCTCTGTCGTCAGCCGATGTTACATAAGTTCAGACAAAAGGCAGACATGAACCAGACAGCTGTGTTATTCTTGGCTCGGGATCAAACACTGACGCATCCAGAAACACAGAGACGTGAACATGCCTGAACAGGACACGCACACCTCCACCATGTGTGTTGTGTTGATCCATCATGCAGCACATAGAGAAGTGCACCCACACATTTCACAATAAGAGCGCTGCTGAGGTGGCTGAGCGTCTGCAGCACAGCGTGCAGCACAAACTCCTCCACCAGACACAAGCTGTGTGAAGCGATGGAGACCAGACGCTCAAATCTGAGGAAGACAAACCTGTTAAATGAACATGAAGTTTGGTGTGAAGAGTCTCTGCTGCGTCCGGGTCGTCTCTCAGAGGTTGTGCACGCGTTTCAGTCTAAGTGACTGAAGAGGGTTTCTGTTGTTGCTTCTCAAAATTAAAACACGTTCCTGTTTTATTTGGTCGGTTAAAATGCTGATTGTGGCCACAGGAGGCACCTGTGGGGAAACCTCTCTTCTGAAATCTGCGGTGGCCAAACTAGATAAAAATGTGTCCATTCATTTTTAGGTTTTGACCATTAAACCACTTCCATCTGACCGGATCAGCATCAGCAACTGCACAATAACTTTTAAAGCAACGTTACAGCCCGGATAACACACAACATTTACAATAGACCTAAACAAAGAAAGGTTCCCCTACAGCAACTCGGTCTCATTCCCCAGTCCTCATGAATGGTGTTTGGTCAAGACCCGTAGGAGGTGTTTCGGATGGATGGGTGGATGGATGGATGGATGGATGGATGGATGGATGGATGCATGCATGCATGCATGCATGGATGGATGGTTGGGAGGGTGGATAGGTGGGTGGATGGATGCATGGATGGATGGAAGGATGGATGGATGGATGGATGGATGGACGGACGGATGGACGGATGGAAGGGTGGGAGGGTAGGTGGGTGGATGGATGGATGGGAGGGTGGGAGGGTAGGTGGGTGGATGGATGGATGGATGGATGGGTGGATGGATGGACGGACGGATGGACGGACGGACGGATGGATGGAAGGGTGGGAGGGTAGGTGGGTGGATGGATGGATGGGAGGGTAGGTGGGTGGGTGGGTGGGTGGTTGGATGGATGGATGGATGGGTGGGTGGGTGGATGGATGGATGGATGGATGGATGGGTGGGTGGGTGGGTGGGTGGATGGATGGATGGATGGGAGGGTAGGTGGGTGGATGGATGGATAGATGGATGGATGGGTGGGTGGGTGGATGGATGGATGGATGGATGGTTGGGAGGGTAGGTGGGTGGATGGATGGATAGATGGATGGATGGATGGGTGGATGGATGGATGGATGGAAGGATGGATGGAAGGATGGATGGAAGGGTGGGAGGGTGGGTGGGTGGGTGGATGGGTGGGTGGGTAGGTGGGTGGATGGATGGATGGATGGATGGATGGGTGGGTGGGTGGGTGGATGGATGGATGGATGGATGGATGGATGGGTGGGTGGGTAGGTGGGTGGAAGGATGGATGGATGGATGGATGGGTGGGTGGGTAGGTGGGTGGATGGATGGATGGATGGATAGATGGATGGATGGATGGATGGATGGGTGGGTGGAAGGATGGATGGATGGATGGATGGATGGATGGATGGGTGGGTGGGTAGGTGGGTGGATGGATGGATGGATGGATGGATGGATGGTGGGTGGGTGGGGTGGATGGATGGATGGTTGGGAGGGTGGATGGGTGGATGGATGGATAGATGGATGGATGGATGGATGGGTGGATGGATGGATGGATGGATGGATGGAAGGGTGGGAGGGTGGGTGGGTGGGTGGTTGGATGGATGGATGGATGGGTGGGTGGGTGGATGGATGGATGGGTGGGTGGGTGGGTGGATGGATGGATGGATGGATGGTTGGGAGGGTAGGTGGGTGGATGGATGGATAGATGGATGGATGGATGGGTGGGTGGGTGGATGGATGGATGGATGGGTGGGTGGGTGGGTGGGTGGATGGATGGATGGAAGGTTGGGAGGGTAGGTGGATGGATGGATGGATGGAAGGTTGGGAGGGTAGGTGGGTGGATGGATGGATGGGTGGATGGATGGGTGGATGGATGGATGGATGGATGGATGGGTGGGTGGGTAGGTGGGTGGATGGATGGATGGATGGATGGGTGGGTGGGTGGATGGATGGATGGATGGATGGGTGGGTGGGTAGGTGGGTGGAAGGATGGATGGATGGATGGATGGATGGGTGGGTGGGTAG